CCAACAGTGGGAGCGCCGATTTGTCCCCTGACATGATCGACTAGAGCAACTTTTTTCTTGAAAAATGCCTCAACGTGGTTCAAACTTATCTGACTAAAAGCAGCATAGTTCCTGGCCTCTACAGCCGCATTACACCGGCAGTTGGATACTCTAGAAGTAGCATAAAAACCAATTAATGATTCAGTTACACATACATTGATTTCTTGTGTGAGGGCTTGGAACGCTACTCCTGCCAAGTCTGATAGGTTCGTTGTCGGGGGATTCTCTTGGTTGAACCCATTTAGAATCGTGGCAATTCTGCCAAATAAAGTAGCCACGCTGACGTACATCATCGTGCCTCCTTCGTATCGGATCATGTTGAGTTTTGCCAGTTGTTGGTTTGGCGTCTCCATTCCTTGTTGTAGTCCGACGTAGGTGGCTGTGAGTGCTTGTTCGAGCGCTTGGAATTGGGTCTTTGCGATCTGTTGCTTGGACCACTTTTCGTAGGCTTTGTTATCAGGCTCTCCGTCTCTGGTCGCAGCTCTCATCGAGAACTCTTCTCCTAGTGCTGCCATTGCTGCGATGATTTCCTTGTGATATGCTTGGTCCGTTACCATTTGGCGAGTGATGGATACGTCCATCTGGTTCTGGACTCTTGGCACTGGAACGTATACAGCTCTGTTGGAAGATGGTGGGAACTTTGTTGGGTCGATTCCAATGTCAGTTTGTAGGGAACACAGCCGTGGGACCAATCGGAGCTCGATTCGGAAGTATGTGGCAGCGGCTCTTAATGGTGCTGGAAGTCCTGGTCCCGGTCCTGTAGCAATCGCATGTCCCATGTTGTCGATGACGTGCAGGCTTGTGAATTTGTACACGTCACTAGTCACGTCGAACAATTCGCTGGTGGCGGCGTTGACTCGCGAGCGAACGTCTGGGCATACTGATGTGTAGCGTTTCATCAAGAAATCCACCTTGTGTTCCATTGTTGCCTTTGTCTGCTTGATGGAGTTCACAGACTGTTGTAGGATCGCTTGCTTGATTTCCGGAGACTCTGTGGTTGGAGCTAGGACGGCCATATCGATGGTATACTGGTTGTAGGTGATGGTTTCGTCCACGTGGCTTCCGTCGACCCAATACAATTTCTCGTTGATGCGATCGCTTCTTTTTTCATATTTTTCATATTTGTGATGCGACGCGGCAGTCATCGCGGCAAACGCTCCGTTCTCCACATTGACAGGACTTGCTGACATCATAGCAAACGCGTTGCGCTGGAAATGATCAGGGTTGAACTGTCCTCCCCATGTGTTGGCTGATCGTGTGAACAAACTTGGTGGCTCTGACTGCGAATCGAATGCATGGGGGCTTCGAATTTTGGGCTGGCTTCCACTTAACGTGACAACGTTGTGCTCCTGGCTCTCATCGTGGAGAGAGCGTACTAGTGCATTGATGTAGCTACTGTTGGACATGATAGACGGTGATTGATATTGCTATTGGGGTGTATTTACGGGGGTCTGAAGCAGCTGTGAGTAGATGATAGATGATTGATCTTGGGCTTGGGATTGGCGACGACCGTTGGCCTTCGATCGCTCTAATATATCTGCTCGGGACTCGGCAGTCCAGTCAGTCACGTTACGGCAGTTGATTAGGGAATTCAGCAGTACTGCTGAATGTTTCAGCAGTACTGCTGAATAATTCAGCAGTACTGCTGAATTTTTCAACAGTTCGCTGAATTTTAAAATTCCCTTTGTCATTCCCGTTATATTAATCGCCAATCAATCGTCAGATATAAACCGCCATCAACACCTTCTTGACAACACCTCCGACAAGCAACACAACCTGCCAGAGCAGCTCATCAACCGACCATGAGGATCCGCTTCTCTGAAGATGAGTTCCTGGAACTAGGAACGGTTCTAGGAAGCAGCTGGAGCAACGAACAAATCGATAGATTATCCAAGACTAGGTGACAAAGCTTCTTCACGGATAATTTCTATGCCGATGCAAAGACTGTGAAACAGATGTTCAAAGATGTCCAGCAAGAGCCAACGAAGATTATGCTGGGTAACTGCACAATATGACCAATTATACTCTAGCCAAAGACACGGATGGCGAATGGCATGCTGGGTCACCAGCAGAAGCTTTCCTTAGAGTTGATGTCGAAAATGGCAAGCACAAGGACATGCAGCCCAAAATGCTCCACCAACAACGCAATGAGTACAAAGCGTTTGACTTGAAAACTTTTCGGGGCCACATCTATCAGGAGACTAGGCGAAACAAGGATTCTGCATACAGGTTGGTAAAGAAGAAGAAAAAGGAACTTGCAAAGCAACAAGGAAAGCAATACAAGGATGATGAAAATAACTTTTACGATCCTGTCATTGATTTCGTATCCCAAAGGATTGGTTTTATGATTGCTAATCTACAATAAAATATTAAGAGTAACACTGTAAATCCTTTTTGTCTTGAGACGACTATCACTTTTATTGTTTGCGTGGTGGCGGAATCTGAAAAACGGAATCTATTTATTCAGCAGTACTGCTGGAAAATTCAGCATTTGAGAAGGGAATTCAGCAGTACTGCTGAATAGTTCAGCAGTACTGCTGAATTTTTCAGCAGTACTGCTGAATAAATAGATTCCGTATTTGCATGCTCGGAAAATGCTACGCTGGCGGAAAAACCGTTATACCAGTTTCATGATTGTTGTCGTGGGGGAAACGTACGACATACAGGCGGTGTTCAGCAGGACCTCCCTGTGTTGCAGTACCTGGTACCGGGTGTTTCGCCAGGCACTCTATACTGGGCTCTACACAACCGACCGTACAGTGGCAAGTATAGAAAGGTTGCAAAAGTGAAGAAGAAGAAGAATTCCGAATTCCGGTAGCCAGCAAAGAACTTGAACGAAGATCTGACGCGTAGCTACCATACGTGAGAAGAAGTACTGAACTTGGAGAAGATGTGAACACGTAAGCACCAAACTGGAAAGAATTGAGAGTTTTGGCAAGAAACCCACAACTCGATCCAGATTGAACCTTGCGATTGAACACTATCGGACCCCAACACCACCCGCCCTGGGGAAAGAAATGGACGCAGGATCTACCCTTCGGGGTACGATCCTGTGGAGACTTCAGCCTACATACTCCTCGAGATTAACCTCGTCGAGTGTAGCGCTGGTACCTCACCCGGATCCGAACCCGGAAGCCTGCGCGGGCTAGGACAATATCTAGCCACCAATTATGATACGAATTAAACGACTCCGAACCCTGGTATGCTGGCGCAGTAAAATACCGAAACAGTCGGCTGAGTCGAACAATGCCTTGGGATTTGCATCGCATCGCATGCATGTGGTGGGGAAGTGCTGGAACGACGAACGCACGACCAAAAATATCTGACAACTAAACAAACAAGCCCTGAAGTCTTTGTTGTGTTGTTGTTGCTATTATGGTGGGCACCAATACTGCTCGCGAACATGGCGTGATTGAAGATTCCGCAGAAGGAAAGGGTCATTCCTTCCGGAAGCGAAAGCTCAGCCTAACCAACCTACGGGAACACGGTGATGCAAAAAAGATGCAACCAACGTTGCCTACGATCAAGTATGCTTCCAATGGTTCGCATGAACCTCATGGAAAGCAAGAAACTACTGTCGGCGATCAATTCGAACAAAAGAAGGCACAACATCTAGCAGTAGACGATGGTAGAGCACATTCGTTTCGCAAACGTCGGCTTTCGTTGACACAGAATCGAGAAGAGTCCTCTCTCGATGATGACCCTTCTTCCCCAAGCCAAAATCATCTCTTGGATCGTTCTGCGTTATCCATCGATTCATCTATGACTTTGACAAAGGGGGTGCAAGCAAAGAAAGAGTCATTGATATCTCGTATCGTGCACGCTCCGGAGCTTTTGGCTCATCCACCTTCATCCCCCATTCATGATGCCTCCGACAATCGGCTATATGAACAATCTTCTCGCCCGAAGCCCCAGTCGCTACTCGATGCGACAGGTGACGAATCGCTACCAACATGGAAGAAACGACACACCCGCCATCAGAATGAGGATGAACGGAAGCTACCGTTCCCACGGGATATTGTGGGTACGTTCTCTTGTCATGGAATTGAACCGTTGTATGAAGATGATTACTCGTTGGAGGAAAAAGAAGGAAGTGATCACATGAAGCATACCACGGCTGCAAAAATAAATCAAGACCGGGGTGGCGTTGCTTTTCCATACGGAAATTGTCCCAGGACTGCTCTTTTTGCAGTATACGATGGTAAGCACAGTCCTCTGTAACCGATTTTGAGTGGTGGTATTGATTGGGCCTCTCGAAAACTAAATGCTACCAAATTACATTCTTTGTAACTTTTTAGGGCATGGACAAGGCGGTGAGCTTGTCTCCCAATTTGCTTTACATGAAATCCAAAGTCGGTTGGAGAAACACGATGATTTCACTAACAATATCAAGAAGGCCTTTCAGGAAACATTTCTTTCCGTTGACGAGTCATTGAAAAAAGAGATCCTAATTGAAGCCCTATACGCAGGAACAACGGCTTGTGTAGCTTTACTAAGAGAGAACAAGTTGGTGTTGTCAAATGCGGGGGACTCAAGGGCGGTTTTGGCAAAAAAATCAAACGACTCTTGGACAGCTGTGGACTTGACCAAAGATCAGAACCCCGATCTGCCGGAGGAAATGGCAAGAATACAGAAAATGGGAGGATTTGTCACACCACCTCCAGAACCAGGCCTTTCAGCCCGGGTGTGGTTGGATGAGGACTGCACACAGATAGGGTTAGCCATGGCACGAAGCTTGGGAGACCATGCAGTAAAGCCGATTGGAGTAATTGCAGAACCGGTGGTAACGATCCACGACGTCCGACCGGAGGATGATTTCGTTATTTTGGCAACAGATGGAGTCTGGGAATTTATCAGCTCTGATGAAGCAGTGCAGCTAGTCGCTCGAAACCTAGCTAGCGGTGCTACAAAAGCTTGCCAAGCGCTCATTGAGGCTGCTGCTACGAAGTGGCACGATGAAGAAGGAGATTACAGAGATGACATCACAGCTTTGGTTGTCCGCCTTCGTCACCTGTGGGCGTCAAACTAGTAGTTTTGACATTCGTAGTGTTGCTGTAGACTCTATCCTTGCTTTAGATAGCCAGCAAATATTGTATTGAAATCGTCCACTCTTCGTCCAATAGTTTATGTCAATCGTGGCATACCGATACAGTAGGTGGACCCTCCACTTGTAAAAAGACTCGTCAGTAAATATCGCAGTCTTTCGGCGGATAAGTTACATCACTTGTAGCACTCATCTTCATACCAATTTTCGAGTGAATAAGACAATGCTACTGAGACTTGGAATAACGAAAGAGGTATTAGAAGGACAAGTTTGGATCATGTGTTGATATACCATTGAATACGTTCGCGAAGATCTACAGTAGAGGCCATTCTGCAGCCAACGTGCTTCGCATCGAAGTGTTTTAAGAATACGTCAACCTCCGACTTCATTGTGACGGTTGCTATCTTCGTCTACAGTAACCCAGTCGATCTCAATTGCCTCTTCTTCCCGAGCTTCTTCTTCCATTGCCAGGCGATTGTAATCAATGCATGCGAATCGGTCCCAATCCGTTTCAAATTCATCTTCCCGTTTCTGACGCTCAGCAAAAGGATCCCGCTGCTCAAACATAAGATACTTGTTGAGATTAAATAGAGCGTCAAACAAAGCACCTGAGACTTGTGAGCACTCTGGTTGCAGAAAGTCTTCTACGACCAAATAATCCGAATTCTTTGGTTTGATCATGTCCATCATTTGGCAAAGCATATCTTCAAATGGAACAATTTCATGGCCCATACATTGCATTCGATGAAGTTGAACAGCGTAAAATGATCTCATCTCCATATTGTTCAGCTTCCCATCCCCATCCACATCAACACAACTGAACCAGTATCGCACTGATACCTCATTCGCTTTGTCTTCCTCTTTGATGACAACAAGCGACAATGTGAGTTGTACGATAGACAAAGCACTTACTCTACCACGATCTCCAGCACGTACCAGAAAGCATGAAAAAAATGAAGTCTTCGTATGACAAAAACTCATTGTTGGATCTGTCGTTTTCAAATGGGCGAGGGGCTGCGTCAAAGATGCGATCGACGATCATATGAGATAATGAGTGGTCTCCATATTTTAACAAGTCCTCCCTTGTAATGCGGTAGTCTCGGTCGTGGTCAAGCTCCCAAAAACGACAGTATAGCACGTAAAAGTGTTCGTAGCTAAAGTATCTTGTCACCTTGTTGATATCTTCTTCCTCGTCTACTCGTGAAAAAGCTTCCATAATATCAGATCTACGGATCTGACGGGATGTTATGCGCCCTGAGTGACATTTATTGATCGAATAGAAAATTCTAGTGATGACGGTAACTGCATACTTCTCTTGGAATTCAGCATGATTAGACAAAAATTCCAAGCCCTAGAGAAAACAATATGAGATATTCATGCATGTTATTCATTTGAAATGGAAACATATGCCAACTCACTGGATGATCGTTGAGCAATGCTTTGATAAAGGGTAAGAAGTCGTCTCTGAGAATGCAGTCTTGACACGGTTGCTTGACGAGCCGAAAAAACCGCTCTGGAGAATCGAAAGGTTCCATTTCAGTCTTCCAGAACCATTCCAAAATATCCAATGTCACAATTGAGGCTTGATTTTCAGAGGGATTTTCCGCATTCCACAAATTGAGGATTCGTTGATAAAGGGGGGCGTTGAAGAAGGAAGGAAATCGACACAGTTCTCTTGTAATGCGGACGAAGGACTCCAGTGGGAATGCAATGACGTTTTCAGATGGAACGATATGAAGGTCAGGAAGCATATGTAAGACTTGATCTCTCACACAAAGTATGGGCGCTTGGTCAGCTTCTTTAGCCTCCGATAGTTGACGTGGATCAGTACTCTCAACAACTGACTCGCCTGTGAACGGCTCCCAAGTTTCGCACTGGTTTGGAAATGTACGTCTTCTTCGCAGTTGCTTCCCTGTATTGATCTTCAGTGGATGAAACCTCGGGATAGCTACACTTCGAGTAGGCTCTTCTGAAGCATCGGTTTTCTCCTCTTGCTTTGGAGAGGTCGGTGGCGTCAGTTTATTGCGTTGTATCATCTCTTGTTGCTTTCGTTGCACACGATACTCGTCAATTAACTCCAGGACATTATTATAGACGTCGTCGCTACCAAGCCACGATACTAGCAATTCGTCCATCTTTACAGGAGCTGCCATCTTCTGACTGATGATACTATTGATTTGGAAGTTTTTCTTTTCTTACTGATATCATTGTAATTTGGGCAGGCTGGCTACATTTATTTTTTTAATCGGTATATAAGTATACAATACCGATTCCAGAAAGTTTTACGTTGTCCGCGCTTTCCACGAGTCGCGCCGTAAGAAAACCACGCAAAATTCGTGGCCCGTGTAGACTAACTACGGCGCGAAAACCGTTTGGTCTTGGGAAAATAATTCCCGGAAATGTAGTGTTAGTGGTTATAGACTGTGTAACATTTAGAAAAAGGGCATTCGTATAATTATTATAACTGTGTTGCTACGTCTGTCTGTCTCCAGGCCAAAAAACAGAACGTGAAGCTACTGTATTTTAAAAAATTCTGGAACACCCGGCAGAACGATGATTTTTGTCATTGTTCGGAGAGCGGACAGACCTTCTCCAGTCATTTTCGAAATCCATATGATAGATCGGCAAGACGGGAGACGTATGGGCGTTTCTAGCTCTTCCT